CGCTCCGTCCTCCTTTATGGTTGTGAGACCTGGCCACTGAGAGTGGAAGACATGAAAAGACTAGCTGTCTTTGATCATAGGTGCCTGCGCTCTATTTCCCGTGTAAAGTGGCATAATAAGGTGAGCAACATTTGTATTTCTTTATTACTCCTTTGTCTCACACCTCTGCTCACTGTTTCTATTATGCTTTTCTTGTACTTTCTTCTCTTGCTTCGCGTGCTACACGGAATGTGGCGACTTGAACTTCCGCACATTTGTGCAAAGTTCTATGTCGAAAACAGACAGACAGAGAACGACTGGAAAACCTGCAGGGAGTACTGGACAGTTGTTTCATCCTAGCCCTTTGGGACTCTTCATCAGTACGCACTCCCCCACCATGGTTCGAACCGAGGACCTTCTGGTTACAAGGCGAGCTAGCTCGTAGACCATTGAGCCACTGGGACCCGATCCCATGGTCCTTGAATTCTAACTTCTGCCAATTCATGATATAGCGCGACCATTTCGCAATGTCTTCTTCAATGAATTACTGCCTCATCTTCAACCTGCTGTACCCTACTGGTCACAGCTTCTCATCCTCCTTTATGGTTGTGAGACCTGGCCACTGAGAGTGGAAGACATGAAAAGACTAGCTGTCTTTGATCATAGGTGCCTGCGTTCTATCTCCCGCATGAAGTGGCATAATAAGGTGAGCAATATTAAGGTTAGGCCTCGATCGAGTGCTAGGTAAGAAGGGGAAATCAATCGACGAAGTCGTGAAGTTACACAGATTGAGATGGTTAGGACATGTGTTACGTATGCCAAGCCATCGCTTCCCTCGACGAGCAATGTTAGCTCACTGACAGGGTCAGGCTGGAAAAAAGCTAGCGGCGGTCAAACAAAAACTTGGCATCAGTCAATGAATTCCACAACAGTTGGTCTAAGCCACGTAGGAAGGTGTAGACTTCCAGGCTGGGGTCCTAGGGACGGTAAAAATCTATGGTTGGAAACAATTGGTGACATGGCTCAAAACCGTTCTCAGTGGCGCAGATGCATCCACTCCCTGTGACTTATGATCTTCAATGAAACTGTTTTGTATTTCTTTATTACTCCTTTGTCTCACACCTCTGCTCACTGTTTCTATTATGCTTTTCTTGTACTTTCTTCTCTTGCTTCGCGTGCTACACGGAATGTGGCGACTTGAACTTCCGCACATTTGTGCAAAGTTCTATGTCGAAAACAGACAGACAGACACGGCTTCTCACTAGAACCCCTGTTTAACTGCCTGAATAGGGCCAGTCTGTAGTAAGCGTCAGATGAATTTTCAGGTATTGGCTTTGTAGGAATTTTTTTTATTTAATTGCATGGAGGATTTTATCATGAACTGATATCAGTTGTAGAACCACTGAAGAGTCTCAAACTAGGATGAAACAGGTAGCTGTCCAGTATTCCTTGGTGGGTTTTCCAGTGCTTCTCTAACTGATATCAGCTCATGATGAAATCCTCCATGTTTCCCATTCTTTCATCTATATTGAATTTAAAATTCCTTCACCTATTTCAAGCCTGCATAACTGTATATAGTTCATTTGATGAATAATTGTTCACTGAACCCATTTGTCAAGGGGATAGAATACATTTTCTATTTTTTTTGTTTTGTTATAATTTGCATTCTCTTCTATTTTATTTCTGTATTGTTAATTGGCGAATATTTAACAGTCATCAGTAGTGATTTCCTTTTTTACTTCTTCTTCAATGTTACTGTCCTAGAATAAAACAATTAAATTAAATATGCAATAGTAAAATTGTCATCCACTGTTGTCCTCTGTATTCCTTTTTCTTCTAAGTTATAACATTCTACTTCATTTCTATTATTATAATATACGTTTTTTTGTGTGTTATTGTGTGTGTGTGTGTGCCAAACAAAAAATATTTTGCATATTCAAAGAGGAAGAGGTGGTGGCTGGGTTGACTACTGTTCCGGTTGATTCTTTTTTTTTTTACTGTACTTGCATGAAATGCTAAACTCATTAATCATAAATTCTTTTATTGTAATTGTGTTGTGTATGCAAAAATGATCAATGGGATTACATTCACTACTTCATGAAACAGTTTTATACGCATTGGATACTTTCTGTTCTCTCTTTTTTTTGTACAGTTTGAATTAGTAGTCATTGTATTTTTTCAGACAAAAGAATTGTGTTGACAGTTGAAATTATATGAATTCCTGTAATGTGTTTAGTTCAACTCCGTCCGACTTATAATGAAGTTCATTGGTTTAAACACTTGACTTTCAGCCAGTAGATCCTGCGTTCGAATCCCGCCTCACCAATCTCAGCCTAGGTAACTGAATAATATCAGTAGCTTTCAAGTATTGGTTTTGTAGGGATTTCGTTTGATTGCATGGAGGATTTTATCATAAGTTAACATAAGTTAGAGAACCACTGGAAAATCACCTGGGAGTACTATACAGCTGTTTCGTCCTAGGGGGGTTCTAGTGGGAAGCCGTGTCCAGTAGGGTACAGCAGGTTGAAGATGAGGTAGTAATTCATCGAAGAAGACATTGCGAAATGGTCACGCTATGTCGTGAATTGGCAGAAGTTAGAATTCATGGATTTGCTATTGGATCGGGTCCCAGTGGCTCAATGGTCTACGAGCTAGCTCGCCTTGTAACCAGAAGGTCCTGGGTTTGAACCCTGGTCGGTGGGTACGCACTGCCGAAGAGTCCCAAACTAGGATGAAACAGCTATCCAGTACTCCCAGGTTTTCCAATGGTTCTCTAACTGATGTCAGCTAATGATGAAATCCTCCAAGCAATATCAGAAGCTCTCCAAAAACATGAAAAACCAGTTCCAAAACCTGACCTCAAACAACATTGTTAAGTGTTGTAGGATGATAATGAAAATTGTACAGTCTTGCCATGTGGCAAGATTTTAACAAATTTGTTTCACAGGGCTACTTCTACAGCTTTTGAAACCTACTTACTGAGTTAAAAAAATTTCAGGTTTTATTTTCCCCTTTAGCCAGCTATCCATTCCCAGACTAGATCTTCTCAGCACTATTTTAATCTACTGAATTAGCAGTGGTATGCAGATTGGCAGGGTAACAGAAATGAGAAATCCAGTGTTCATTTCGATTTAAGTCATTACTTTGAAATGAGATGTAAGTCTACCGATAGCAAGCTATTCCAGATGCTATGGATGACTATTGAAGTGTTGTTGGTGTATCCTGTTTTCCTCAACTTTCTTTAGTAGTATGTATCTTTCTACTAATTGATTGTATGCAAAATGAGAGCTGTCTGTCTGTCTGTTTTCGACATAGAACGTTGCACTGATGTGCGGCAGCTCAAGTCGCCACACTCCCTCCTTGTAGCACACAAAGTAACAGAAGAAAGTAGAAGAAATGCATAATAGAGACAGTAAACAGGGTTGTGAGACAAAGGAATAGTAATAACGAAGAATAATATAGTTCTATTGGACATTATATGTCACAAGGAGTGGATGCATCTGTGCCAGTCATTGAGAACGATTTTGAGCCATATCACTATTTGTGTCCAGCTATTATTTTTTACCGTCCCGAGGACACCAACCGGGAAATCTATGTGGCTCAGACTAACTGTTGTGGATTTCATTGACTGATAAAACCGTGTTTTGGTTTGACCACCAGTGCCTCTTTTCCAACCGGAACTTATGTCAACTAACATTGGCTGTCGGGGAATGCGATGGCTAGGCATACGTAACACATGTCCTAACCATCTCAGTCGATGTAATTTCACGGCCTCGTCGATTGATTTCCCCTCCCACCTACCTAAAACTCGACCGAGTCCTAACCTCAATATTGCTCACCTTATTATACCACTTCACACGTGAGATAGAACTCAGGCACCTATGATCAAAGACAGCTAATCTTTTCATATCTTCCACTCTCAATGGCAAGGTTTCACAGTCGTATAAAATGCCAGCTGGTTTCAATCATTTAAGTATGTCAAAGTGGTCAGCTAAAATAAAGTGTTTAGACAAAGGAATATAAGTGTATTGTTAATACTCATTGAGAGGTATTGCTTATAAGCCTTTCTTAACTATCATCTTCTTTCTTTGTCACCGTGTGATTCTCTTGTTATAGCATATTTGGATTAAAAATCTCTCATACTTTGTTTTTCTCTCGTAAGTGAATATCGGTTAACGAAATGCTCTTGTCTTCTAAACCAATATGCAAATTCTATGAAAAATGTGACAAGAGTTACAACTATATTTAAACCGTTACTTGGTCGGTGGTGATCAACAGTTGAACGCAAGATGCTCACTTCGTCTTATTTGAGACTCCTCAGCTGGGTGTTCCTGCAATCTCCAGTGAGTGATGTCCTCATTGAGAGTGCATCCAGACACCTGTCGTTTCAAACGCCAAAGCATTATCTTCAGACATCGTTGAAGCCGTCCATACCAGGAGCCAATAGCATAGGTTAAACATTTAGGGTCAATCGAACAAATACTTTATTAGTAATGTTCGCTGAAAACCTGATTATATCCATCTTTGATCATGTTTCACCACTTACAAATTTACTTTGCTCCGAGTATTCTATTCGCCATTCTATAAATGGTTGACAGACGTGTTGTTTGTGATGGTACTTATTCACTCGTGTAATATTTTCACTTTGTATCTGTCATCTACCTATTTCTGATCTTACTGGGATATGACCCTTATTCACATATGTTTTCTATCCAACCAAGACAGGATAGTTTTACTACGACAATATTTAGTTATAATCCCGTTATTATTTTCTATCTGATATGATACTAGTAATAATGGGCTGAGCGATTTGCAATAGTTTTTACAACTGATCATACGCTTTGTGACATTTTATGAGCAAAGAAACTAACTAAGTTAGAAATAATTCGTTGTAAAAGACTTTAAAAAAATGACAATTATTCATTATCTATTCTCTCTCTCTTTCTCTTAAATATTAATTATCTCTTGTTTACCTATCATTCTTAAATTATTTCTTTCTGTGTTGAAATAATTTTTTCAAGGTCCAGTAGTTCAGAAAGTTTCAATCCCCACAATTTTAAAATACAACTTGGGAAATATTGCAGTGATCCCTTGCAGTTTAGAGAAAGTACATTCATCAGATGAAGTGTTTTTTACGCTGAATAATACTGATATTACGCATCTCTTTTCCGGTAAGTTTATACTATTTTATTGGCAACTTATTTCATGGTGTTAATATTTTTCTCATTGATGAAATCTCAACTGGTTTTATGTATCTTTTATTTATATATGCTCAGTTAAAAGTACATGGAAGAAATCTGAAAAGAAGCAATCTTTTCTACATTCCTGGGAAGTATCACTTCAACTATGGGTGGAACTGACGAGGATATCAAAGCTAGGATCATCGGGAAAAGAAGGCAAGCTTTCAGCACTCTCAAGTCTGTGTAGAGATAAACAGCACTCAGCATAAAAAGTAAGATGCGGATTTTCAAATCTAATATGAAGCCAGTGCTACTAAACGGATCAGAGACTTGACGTGTCACGAAGGATACTTCAAACAAACTACAAAACTTCATCAACAGCTGTCTTCGCTCAGTACTCAGGATCTGATGGCCAGAACAGATGAGCAATAGGAATCTCTGGCGATGAGCTAACCAACTCAGCAGGAACCAACTGTTTAACAAATATGCAGGAAGTAGTGGAGGTGGATTGACCATGCTCTAAGAAAACAAACCACCAAGTGACATCACATGCTAAGCTGTCGAGTGGAACCAGAATGGGCAATGGCGAGTTGGTTGTCAGTATGACGATGACAAGGAGGAGGTTATATGAAGGGAGATGAAAGCATGTAAATGGGACATTATGTGCTCCTCCCACACCCCACAAGGGTTGTTGAGTTACATCATGTATTTTTATTATGATTATATTATTATTGTTTCCTTTAATTCCTAGAGGGACACAGGACTTCAGCCACACGTTCCCATTGCGTTCCGTCATCCACCAAAGCGCAGAGGTGGAGCCAGATGAAAACTTTGGTGGATGACGGAACGCAATGGGAACGTGTGGCTGAAGTCCTGTGTCCCTCTAGGAATTAAAGGAAACAATAATAATATAATCATAATAAAAATACATGATGTAACTCAACAACCCTTGTGGGGTGTGGGAGGAGCACATAATGTCCCATTTACAAGGCAATTTAGCAACCAAATACAGGTGTTCATTACTCAAATAAAACTGCTACTGAGTATTTTGAGATTGTGAAAGTCAACTGCTTAAATCAGTCGATCATAAGTCCGAAGATTTTGCTCGTTATGGTATTGTGTCATTTGTATTGGTAATTTTTTTTTGATTACATCTTGAATCCATGCCGTATTTTTTGGTACAGGTATGGAATTTTCAGCAAGTGATATCGGCAGCCCAAATTCGCAGGCCGACCATAGATATCAGGTGTGCGTCGGTAGGGGATTGAATCCCGGACCATGTGCATGGTCGGCTAGAGCCCTAACCACTGTGCCACCGACGCTCATTTATAGATTGGCTGATAGAAATCAACTCAGCGCGAAATAATATTCTGTTCTATTATATTACACAATGATCGAGGAAGCTTTCGTAAGGTACATACACCATAAGGGGATGATAATTTCTGCGATTGTCTTATTTTTCTTTTCAGCTAATTTCGCCTGTGTAAATATTTTTAATTCCTCATTGTTCGGATTTTCTTGTTCTATCTCTTTTCTATTTCATTAGCAGGCAAATATCGATTTGTACAATCTCTATCTACTGGGCATTATACATTAATGATACGAGATTTTCAATTACAAGATCAGGGATTCTATCAGTGTGGTTACTTTAATCATAGATTGGGAACAAAACGATATAACCCTGTAATATATCATCTCTTAGCTGAAAGTAAGTTTAATTCAGTGATAATTAAATAATCTTTTTACACTTGGAGTTTATCCCAATAATTGTCTTATGCGCATGGTTTTATTTTTAAAGATTTACTTGAGATTTTTTTGATACCTTTTTGTCTGGTGTGTTATTTTGAAGAATAACTCCATCTTATTCGTTGAATTTTATGCTTATTTTTGAGATTAGATCATATCTGTGAGGTGTTACTGTGATCTCATCACTTAAACGACATCATTTGAAGAACTAGGAAGAAATACGATCTCGATAGAGAAAAAAAAACAAGATCAGATTTGCTGGTTGTAAGCATATAGATTGATGGTGACTTAAACTAAAACAATTGTAATACTTATGCTCCAGATGCATTCATCTTGTGATTTTTTTCTCTATTACCCTTTCAAACATTGAAGTATAAAATGTCATTTATTTATAAACTGTCGTAATTTCAGGTAGTTTCCAGCTGATGAGAATCTGTGGACTAGAATGATGACATCATTTTATACTGCAAATCTGGTGTTTCTTTTTTCTCTATTGAAATTTATCAAGGGAATCAAATGTATGGAGTGCGATCTACTTAGAGTTATAACATCTACAATTTCTACTGTTTTATCACTGTCATCCTAGTTGCCTTAGAATTAATCAGTACAGAATGGTTTATCGCAGTTGGCTTGGTGTTTTTTGTCGTTCCTTTGCTTTCCAAGTGGAGCGGTTAACTCTAAACTTTCAAGGTTGGATGACAGTATTGTTTATACGAGATGAGGTTGCTAGCCTCACACGCCTAACCTCACCTCCTTTCTAGGCTTATAATGGGCTAGTAAACTAGGCCGGTAATCCAATCCGGGCCATGTGTTTATCTGTCTTAGAGATGACTACTTACACAAACTGGATTGTACTGGCTAAGAATGAATGAGGTAATCGTGAAATATTTTCAGTCCAATAAGGTCTGATGGTCAATCTTATTATTATTATTACTGTTCCCTTGGGTTCCTAGTAGAACATGGGGCTTCAAATGCACATCTCCACTTGCCACTTCTGTCTTCTGCTGTACTTTTCACCTGCATCCATGTTAGTCCATACTATTTCAACTTCTCTTCACATGATCTCCTCCATGTTACCCTTGCACTGATGACCCACTCGTCGCTTCCCTTTCGGGTTCCACTCGAGCAATGGCCTGACGCGCGCGTGATGTCACTCAGCGGCCTCCTCAGCGAGCGAGTGTCCAATCCATCTCCACTTTCTCCTGCATATTTGTTGGTTGGTGATTGGTTCTTGTTTTGTTTGTTCCCAGCCATAGTTTCTTGTTGGTGATTCTTTCCGGCCCGGCCGGCCATCTGATCTTCAGTTTAGATCCAGCGAAGACAGTTGTTGGTTGATAAAGGTCTGCAACAGGCTGTTGGAAATATTCTTTGTGACCGACCCACCCGCCAAGTTTCTGATCGATCCGTATAGAAGAACTAACTGACTTGACATTTGTATTGTTGTTGATGGTGAGTGACGAAGGTTTCCAGATTGGTTTCAGTTGGTTGATGAATGTGTTTCTCACCTGCCTTCCCGATTCTCGCTCTATTTGACATGCTCGTCCGTTGTGATTGCCTGTAATTGAGACAATGCTCCCTAGATAAGTAAATGAAGGAACCCCCTTTAAATCCCTCCCGTTGATGGTGATTGGTGCTGGATGTTGTTACCGCTGTTGCTGTTGTTGGTTGGTTGTTTTCATAGCCTCCGTCTTGTCTACGTTCACCTGGAGTCCTGTCTTCACTATCTGCCTCTTCGACCAGTTTGTCGGTTTTCGCTTGTAAGTCTTCGATTTTGTGACAGCGACATCAAACATAAGTCATCCACTCGCAAAATCCAGGTCTTCTAGGTTCTTCACGTCGGTCCAGGCTATCCCTGTCTGTTCGTTTCCCACTCAGTCTGACGCATAATCCAGTCCACCATAATTAGGAATATCATTTGTGGTAATAATCACCCTTGTCTTGGTCGATCTCATCGAATATGTTAATTATTATTTAAGTACAAAATATTGCTATGCATTATTAGATTGTATTTGAGTAAGCTGACTGATTTATACAGTTTCAAGTGTATGGTAAAAGAAGTTTGAGTAAACTACAAATGACTAGTCTGCATGCTGTTATTCATTTGCTTTTACTGTTTTTCCAGGAGGTATGATTCATATATTCTCACTCAAGCTGGGTGGAGTAAATAAATACACAGTATGTAGTTGTATGCTGGTGTGTTTTGCCGTCTCTTAATAAGTTTGGTAGCTGGCAAAATAGTAGATTAATGCTCTGTCAACTGTTAATTTTTAGTTCAAACTTTATGCTTTCATTATTCTAACTGGACAGTGAATGTATCACTGTGTTAAATGAAGCATCTGACGTGTTTTGGTTTGCAAATAAACTGTATTATTGCCTATGTTTATAATACTTGTTGGGCGGTCACTTATCTTTGTTTGTTGATTTCCATTATGTCAAGCTCAAGTTTGACTATCTTAATATATATATATATATATATATATATATATATATATATATATATGCACAAAATATGAAGCATATTACCAATACGGTTAGTAGCAAACTAAGGAGTAAACCATCTTGTGTAGAGAATCGAAACTAACTTTGGAAAACGAAAAGAGATTGAGCAAAGAATATTCTTTTTGACAGCTTCCTCACCTGGTTCTACAGTCATATATATATATAATATTTAAAGAGTAACTGTTATTGAGAACATTAATTTCTTTTGAATAATACCGAGTTGTTAAGATGAAAAGATTACAGTTCAAATGCATGTGTTAGTGATAATATGCACAAGAAAGTTAACGCAATAATTAAAGGGTAGAATAATCAAACAGTTAAAATAACAACTGCTTAGAATAAAGGGAGGATTGGTTGGAGGATTCCATCATGAGCTGTCTGTCTGTCTGTCTGTCTGTCTGGATTCATGAGCTGGCATTAGTTAGAGAACCATTGGAAACCCTGGGAGTACTGGACAGCTGTTTCGTCCTAGTTTAGGACCCTTCATCAGCACGCCCCCACACACTGCAAGGTTCTAAACTAGAACCTTCTGGTGAATATGACGCAGTAACTAATCGAAGAAGATATTGCGAAGTGGTCGCGCTATGTCGTCAATTGGCAGAAATTTGAGTTCATAGTCTGGCCATTGGATTGGGTTCCAGTGACTTATTGGTCTACGAGCTCGCCTTGAAACCGGAAGGTTCTGCGTTTGAACCCTGGCGATGGTTGTGTACTGATGAACAGTCCCAAACTAGGACAAAACAGTTGTCCAGTACCTCCAGGTTTTCCGATGGTTCTCTAACCGATGTCAGCTCATGATGAAATCCTTAAACCAATCAAACAAAATCCCTACAAAAGCCATTACTTAAAGGGAAGATTGTCAGGCTTTTACAATCATGTAGTGATGGTCAGGGTAAAGAAAGTGCCTGTATGTATTTCTTTTGAACACATACTTCCAGTTTCTTCAGCTGGATTCTAATGATTTCAGCAATATCCAGAGGAAGAAGTCGTAATACCAAATCAATATTGGTCAGAATATGATAAATAGCTTCAAATGACTTGTTGGCATAAACTCAATGCTCACTATCTACAATGTGAGTTAAAACAGAGCTACGAATACACCTAGTTAATTCCTTTACAGTGTTTTTATCTATCTATCTAACTATTTCATCAATTCTGGTTGTTGGTTAAGAAATGTGCACATTACAGTGAGTGCTAAATAATCATCAGTGAAAAAAGGTTCATTAACTGAAATAGATTTCATCCAACTTAGATTTTCCCGTCGACTGACCAGACATCCCCTAAGTATCTTCACAAGAAGCCAACATGTCAACCTGAAACCGAGCACTTCAGTCCAATCAATTGACGGTAAATATCTAAATTGAATTAAATAATTAGTGAGACCCCTTTTGCACAAGAGGTGGATGTTGTAATTCAAACGGTCTACTGGATAACGCTTTGGAGTTTAAAACTACGGGCACTGGGTTTGAGCCGCAGTGGGAACACCGTTTTTCATCGGGGAATGCAGGTATATCCCGATGAAGAGTCTCAAATAGGACGAAATGTGCATCCTAGATTCCACTGCTAGTCGCCATTCACCAATTAAAATAGATTTCATTCACCACTCTGTAAAAACTCAATCTTATTTAATTTATCATGCGAATGAAAAGCTTTTTGACGATCGAAGCAGTTTGTCAAACAGAGCAATAAATAATACACGGCATTTGAAGAGTTGAAATCTCATTTTCGTCACAAAAGAATCGAAATTTCTAAGACTGGTCAACATGCATGGGGACAGATGTCCAAAATAATTTATGTAGTAGGAAGAGTAAATAAAGGGTTGGTTAAGAAAAAGATGTTGCTAAGACGCCATACAAACATTCAAAAGAAAGCCTTATTAACAAAGTAGCAGAACTTGAAATTATACCCAAACTATAGAAGGAGGGAGTAGAGAAGTTTCTTCTGTGTATATAAATCTAGGTTTTTTATACAAATCGTTAAGGCTTCGGCGATGCAAAGTATACGGAAGCTAACCGTTCTCAACGGGAGGCTTCTTTTGACTTTGTAGATGACTTTGAATGAATTCTGCTTACATAGTGAGTGACCGGTGTTGAGTGGCGGAAATCCTAAAGAGAAGAATATCTAACGCTCTGGACAGAACATTCTCTGTTGCTACACTTCGATTAGTATTCTCATGTCGCCTATTGTTCTTCAACAACTACAAAGATAAAATATTGCATTTCACCACTTCTATGTGTATCTGCCAATTTACTTGCTCATGTGGAGCGAGATATTTAGGTTGTTTGATGCGTGTTTTATCTAAGAGAGTCAAAGAACGTTATCTCGCATGGCTACGAAAATGTAACAGTGGATTAATAAGGAGTGCTGTAATTGAACACATACTCATCACCGGTCACTCACTATGTAAGCGGAATTCATTCAAAGTCATCTACAAAGTCAAAAGAAGCCTCCCGTTGAGAACGGTAAGCTTCTGTATACTTTGCATTGCCGAAGCCTTAACGATCTGGATAAAAAACCTAGATTTATGTACACAGAAGAAACTTCTCTACTCCCTCCTTCTATAGTTTGGGTATAATTTCAAGTTTTACTACTTTGTTAATAAGGCTTTCTTTTGAATGTTTGTATGGCGTCTTAGCAACATCTTTTTCTTAACCAACCCTTTATTTACTCTCTCGGTGACATTGTCAGTGATAAGCACTTGATGACATGCAATAAATTTGCTAAAGGAATTTTGTCAGACTGTGAGCACCCACTGCAGCACCTGCAGCTCCGACGTTGTGTCCCCTCAGGTAAAACAAGGATTCTTTTCAGAAGACTTTATGCACGTACGTCTAAGTATAAAAATTCCACTATACCATCCATATTTGGCACGTACTTAATGTGATGAAAATAGTGTTAGGCTTCAAATAACTAACCTTCTTTGCACTACTAAATAAACCATTTCCTCCACCCTTACAACATCAACCTTTACTTTTATTGTATTTCTTGTATTTATAATCCTCTCAATTTTTTGTTTTTGTTTATTTTTCATGAGTGTGAACATAATTTAAGCTGTGTTATGACTGTTAATTTTGTATTTCCCCTCACTATACTATATCAACAGGACATTAGATTCAATACTCTATAATAACATGCTAAAATTTCCAAACTGAATCGACAATACTGTTTAAAACAAACTCACTATAATTGTTATTATATTTAATATTTGGGAATCATCGGCAGTACGCACCCACTGGGATTGAAACCCGGGACCTTCCGGTTACAAGCCAAGTTAGCTCGTATACCATTGAATCGGGTCCCAGTGGCTGGATGGTATATTTAATATTCTCAATTCGTACTTCGAATATTTTTGACTTTATATCGTAAACGTGGACAAATTCCTCTGGTTACTTTTATTTTAATTTTTAATTTTATTTATATTTGCAGTAAATCAGATGCAATATTGTCACAAATGCTGAGAATTCCATTCTATATTATAAGTACTGTTCTTGGAATAAAGTAGATTATCATTATCATTAAATTTATTTTGATAAAGTCTCAGTGTTATACAGTAATATTAGTAAATATTTCTGTATAACAGTGTCAGACTTTATCAAAATAAAAATTTTTTTACCCACAATGGAATTATATCAAGAAAAAAACCCAGTAAGGTTGTAGTATCAGACAGAGATTGCCGGATATACTGGAGAGATTTCCTGGTTTGTCACCTTAATTAACTCCAGCCCACATATCTATCTAGACTAAAACAGCCCATAAGTTAATAGTTTGATATCTCACTTTAGTCCAGTCCATTATTAGATTATTAACTGAAAGCCTAGATATTCTTTTGAAATATAAAAGTATACATATAATTTTTTTAGTTTGAGTTATTCTGGATAGAACAGAATACTACTCACTCGTTACTGTGTATACTGGTGGTGATAAGGCTTGAATTATCTCTTATTTTAGCTTGAATTACGCGTTCGAATTAAGAATTACTCCCATACTGTCTGTGTATAGTTGTTGTTTTCGTTGCCGTAGCAGCTTCACTACTTATTTTCGTCTTTATTTTTGCTTCCTTTCCTTATAATTATTACTTTTTATTAAAATTCCTACTGTGTGTATGTCATTCTTTGAGAGTCAGTTAGTTAGATCATTGGTTGGTTATTAAGTAGTATACTTGGTTAAGCATGAAAAGACAAAGATTAAAGTAACATATTGTCGGCAGTCTCATTCTTTTATTCCTTCTGTGTCTCCGCGCCAACCGCCCCCCCGCCCCCGCGCTACCCTACTTTTTGATAGTGGCGAATATTTCTTTTTATATGTATAATATATATATATATATATATAAGGAGGCACTGATGAAAGCTTCAACTCGCATGAAATAGGTTAATATATTGTGAATGAATGTTATAATAATAATTATTATTATTACTATTATTATTATTATTATTATTGGTAGTAGTTTGGCTACATATGATGCTCATAGCTGTTTATATAAAAAAGAGAAAAAAACCTGTTGCCCGTTAACCTGTCGCCACTACTAATCGGTAGAATGATTTTTGCTATGTATTGTATTGTAGTTATTAATCCTGGTTGTTAGTTAGAGTGGTTTCTTTATTATGTGTCTTATTTATATACCTATAAAATAATACATATATTCATGGTTTCGTATTCCACGTTCCCCACCCCGCGGCCCCGTCCCTTTAGTATAAGTTTCTGACGCTCATTTTCATCAGGGTGTATATATACATATTTATATTTTTATAATATACATTTGATTGCCTTACTTCTAAATGTCTTCATTATTATATGCATATATACCAACACCAAATGGGTTTCTAATTGCGATGATTTTTATCGCTTCATTAATATTATCGTGTTTACAAGAATATATTATGTTGTGTTATGTTTTGTTTTGTTTCTTTTTGCCTCTCTGTTCTGTGTGTGTGTGTGTTTGCGGTAATTATCTGTCTGGGTGGTCGAATTGTGTTAGTTTCTTCACATAAAGATTTGGAAGCAGATTTCAAAGGATGCACGGAGTTATTGGATTATTATTATTATTAGCCCGTAGTTGTATGACCTTTTAAACAAGTAGGCATCATGTAAACTAGAGTCATAAAGCGTTTGGCAAAAATGCTATAACGTATAAAGTTTTCATAATCTTGAAGAATAGTCGAGAAGCGCTCAAAAAATGATTATTATGATTATGGCGTATTAATTTTTGGTTCACTGGCACTATCTGATTGATTTCCTTGTCATTTTACTTGGAGTAAGAAATGCTAGCAAGTAATGAAGTCTTTGATTTGAATGAGTATATAAATTGTGTCTGTCTGTTTTCGACATAGAACTTTGCACATATGTGCGACAGTTCAAGTCGCCAACACTCCCTCCTTGTAGCACACAAAGCAACAGAAGAAAGTAGAAGAAATGCATAATAGAGACAGTAAACAGAGGTGTGAGACAAAGGAATAATATTAACGAAGAACGATATAGTTTCATTGGAAATTATAAGTCACAAGGAGTAGATGCATCTTCGCCAGTCATTGAGAACGATTTTGAGCCATATCACCGATTTTTTCCAGCCATTGGATTTTACCGTCCCGAGGATCTCAACTAGTCAGGAATTCTACACCTTCCTACGTGGCTTAAACTAACTGTTGTGGATTTGATTAATTGGTACCATGTTTTGATTTGACAAGTCTGATCCTATGTCAGCTAACACTTCTCGTCGAGGAAGGCGATGACTAGGCATATGTAACACATGCCCTATCCATCTCAGTCGACGTAATTTCACTGCCTCATCGATTGATTTTCCCTCCTTACCTAGTACTAGCATGTTCACTAAAACTGAACCAATCAGCCTGTGAATCCATTGTTCTATACATATTTATTCTGACGTTGTAAACGTCGATTACTTTGTGTGTCTATCAAGGAATCTGACTTTTTTATTTTTTTGCCATTATTGGGTTTAGTGTTTTTTTCTTGTTGTGGAGTTCATTTTTGTCTTTTGTTTTTTCTTTATGAGGTGTCGATTTTCAGTTTTATAACTACTAAAATGTCTGTGTAGCAAGTAGTATATAGTATACCCACCATTTGGAAACTGTCAGTTATGCTACCTGACCACCCAAACTGAGATAGATAGATAAATAGATAGTGTTCCGCAAACGTCATATTCTGCCAAATGATATTCGTCAGCTTAACCTTAGACACACAGTTAATCGAAATGTTGATCAAACGGACTGAAACTGTTGCTATACTAACTCTCCTAGTCAGTATAGCAACAGTTCCGAAAAAAGCCAATGTTCATAAAACTTCAGTTCCCCTATGACAACATTAGCGAAATAATAACACAGCGCCTGAAGAATGCAGTTAAAAAAGGGTTATTATACAGCATAGGTACGTTGTCTCTTCACAACCACCCCTATTCTACGTTCGAGAAATAAGGATAAACTACCTAAATTCGCCTCTTTTATGTGCATCTACCGATTTGACTGCAGCGGCAAAGCCAGCTAAATTGAGCGTACGATTAGCCAGGTTCATCATCATATTTCCGAACATCGTCCAACAAACAAGATCTATTCTTAGCTTGTAGAACACCTTTTAGTTGGGGAGCATAAGATTGGTCTGAATACTGCATTTAAAAGGATCTATCGCATTCCTCCTACTAATCCTAATTTTGCTCTACGACTTCTTCTTCTACAGACAGCTGAAGCAATAGGAATCCACTTGAAGAAGCCAAACCTGTGTGTTCACAAGAAATTTGTACAGCCACTTTCCTTACCTTGACCATCGTCGTTACATGAATGTATAAACTAGACTACTTCGCCCTCTCCCCCTAATCCTCTAAAATTATAAAAATTATAAATGTCCAAATCATTTTATTTTCTATTTATTTTGACCACTTCATCTTTAATTACGTGTTATCCTTGTAAAATTAATTTATTCTAACCATTTCTACCTTTTAACTGTGTGTATTGATTTTCTTCGTTAGTTATTAACCCATTGACATTTTGACACTGACTAATTGTTGTTAACAACCATATCAGTGCCACTTGATTGGTAAACTGTTGTGTATTCTAATAAAAAATGCTGTACGTGTATATTAGAGTAGAGCCAGAGCGAGATGAGGATCTAATTGAAAAGTAAATATTTCTTCGCTCAATCTTTCAGTTTTCTAAATATATAATATTCTCCTCTCAGTGTATATTTATTACATATATTAACGTTTAGTCATCGTCTTTCTTCCCTCCACATTCCATTTAGATCCATTTAATTCCTCAATGAAAACTATTTTGCTCATGGATTTCAATGGCAGTTCACCAGATTCACCTACTGTCATTGATTCTAGAAAATCAGTGGTAGAGATTACCGCTTATGAAAATCAAAATATTTCATTATTTTGTGTATTTAATTCACCGAATCCACTTGTAGCCAAAGTCGACGACTACTCAGTAATGAATGGCTTTAATGAATATCATTCTTTTGATTCATTATTTGGTAAGTTATTTAAGTAGAAAGTTGGAGTGTGTGTGTGTGTGTGTAATGTATTTTTTCCTTAATGATGTGAACTTTTTAAATAAACTGGCTGTTACTTTTTATTTTCTAGGCGTTTTAGACATACAACATTTAACAATGAAAGATGAAGGATTGTACTTTTGTTCAGCTGACAATGTTACATCTTATGCTCATTTGCGAATACTATGTAAGTGTTGAATCCTCTCAGGGGAATTGTATTGATGTCTTACTTTCTTGATGTATTTGAAATGCGTATACTATTCTGTCTGATTATTGTGTGTGTAATGAAATTTTCATTCTGCGTAGATGGTTCAATAGTATCATACTCGCCAAAAACACGTCTGTGATCCGGGTTTCGATTAGTGGTCGGCTAACCTACTTCTAGAACTCGTCTAGTTTAGTAGTCGGTAGTAAGCATGGTGAAGAGGGAAGGCTGATCATAAATGAGGCTCGCGAATCCCACCTCCTCCCCCGTGAAAACAACACTACCGCTTTTCAGACTTCAGAGCCTGAAGCCTTAAAGCCCCATGTTCCACTGGGAGCTTAAAAGAATGTAAAAAAAGAAGAGGAAACATTTAGATTACTTCTTCTTGTATATTTCAAACTCTTATATCGTTTTCATAAATCGTTATTTTTGTTTCCTTCACGTTCCCAGTGGAACATAAGACTTCAAGCTAGGGGCTCATGATGAAATCCTGCAACCAATCAATCAAATCCCTCCCAACCAACACTTGAATAGTCTTCTTTATCCATTATTAAACGGTAGTTCTTATTGTCAAAATCAACTCAATGTAATAATCAATTTTCATTTTGATATGTTCCTTAAGTGTTGGGTGGTTTATTTGAGAAGCCTTCATTCTCTTTGTGGATAACATTTCTAGGGCTAACTTGAATGTAGGCAAATTGCAGTCAAAACTGCATTGGAGTATTGAAATCACTCCCCCCTCCACACGGCAACTGATTTGATTAGCACGGCACTGTTGACAATTCCCCTTGTTTTCAAGTGTGTTAGGTTGCACCGACTTGATTAGTTTCAAGTTTGATCATGAACTGACTTAACCTATAACTCAACCAGGGGTCTAACCTCAGGATCTTCAAATTATAAGTCAAGATCGCAAACTATTCAGCCACTGGCATGGAATCTAACGGCCCATCATTTCCAACTTCTAGTAAGAAGTCGTGACGCCACCAAGTTAGGTGAAAAGCCAAATAATTCGTCTCTACAACATTGGTTGAAAATTGCGCTACACATCAAACTTTTAATAAGTTTCGGACAAGGACGAAACACATTTGTTCAGTACTCCTTGATTTTCAATGATTCTCTGAGTGAATTCAGTTTGTGATTAGTTTCGAAATTTGTTTTATGTTTACACTATTGATCTTCAGTGGGAATTTACCGGGTCACTTTTAAGTATCTGTATAATTATTTCGAAATTCGGAATCGATGCTCTTTGTGGAGAAGGAGAAGAAAGAGGAGGCAAATCATGAAATCAGCAGTTCTGGTCCATCCTTAGATGCTTATACAATTAAACTGTATAGGAGAACAGTCATTATGGATGAATACAGAGAAAGTTTATCTTCGAAGTGTTTTGATAGTGTAATTAGTTCAGTTATATTACTTAATAACTTTTATTACTGTCCTCTTTAAAAAAAGGTAGATAATTATTTTGCCAAGTAGCAGTTTCTTCCTAAATACCTTTTATGTATCTTTGATGCTACTTCAAAATAATTTATCTTTTGAAATAAACATTTACATTTTTATACCTCTTCATTTCAAGCATCACCTCAATTGATGGTTTATCCGAAAAATATTCAAGCAAATCTGGGTGATTCTTTTAATCTCTCCTGTATAATAAGTTCAAGAAATGATTTAACACCATTTTGGTGTTTCAATGGAATTTGCAAACAGTCTACAGTGTCTATAAATCCATGTAAGTATTTGTCTTTTTATATTTTTAAAGAACAACATGATTGAAAAGTATAAATATTCTTTTCTGCTACCTCTATATAATAAGAATATTCGTGATACTTTGCCCATCAGCCAATGCCAACGGGTTGATCTCTGACGAAATCTCGGTACGTATACAGAGGGCTAGTTTCGCATATGTCAGTTTACGCCGTCTCTGGCTTAGTAGAAGTGATATCCGACTGGCTGTCGACCAAAGGGCGGGTGTACTGCTCATCAGTCCGCTCCGTCCTCCTTTATGGCCAGCTGTGAGACCTGGCCACTGAGAGTGGAAGACATGAAAAGATTAGCTGTCTTTGATCATAGGTGCCTGCGCTCTCTCTCCCGTGTGAAGTAGTATAATAAGGTGAGCAATATTGAGGTTAGGCAGTGGTTGAGTGCTACGTATGGAGGGGAAATCAATCGACGAGGCTGTGAAGTTACACCGATTGAGATGGTTAGGACATGTGTTACGTATGCCTAGTCATCGCCTTCCTCGACGGGAAATGTTAGTTGACGTACAGTCAGGTTGGAAAAGAGCCCCTGCTGGTCAAGCCAAAACAGGGCTTCATCAGTCGATGAAGGTGTAGACTTCCGGGTTGGGGTCTTTGGGATAGTAAAAGCCAATGGTTGGAAACAATTGGTGATATGGCTCAAAATCGTTCTCAGTAATGGCTGGTGCAGGTGCACCCAGCTTGTGACTTATGATTTCCGATGAAAATATATTCTTCTTCGTTATTACTATACCTTTGTCTCACAACCCTGTTTACTGTCTCTATTATGCATTTCTTCTACTTTCTTTTGTTGCTTTGTGTGCTACAAGGAGGGAGTGTGGCGACTTGAACTGTCGCACATTTGTGCAAAGTTCTATGTCGAAAACAGACAGGCAGACTATGCTCCTAAGTAAACTTCAGATGATATAACTATGATGAATTAATCATGCAAAACGACGTGTGAATGTTTTTTGCAGATCAATTTGCGATAGATGAGGAATAAATCTTATGAGACATTAAAATTAATATTATAATACATTATGGTTCATTTACATCACTATAATAATAAACAAGTAGATATCAGAGAGGGAGAATATTGACATGAGTCAATATTATATACGTAGTCTATAGGATGCTTTGTTATTGAACTTATTAGTACTTCGACTTCAGCTCTTTCGACTATTTCGGCAAGTGCTCCATTGTGCGGATAGACAATTGTCTTTCGCCATACGACCTATCATATTATTTATTTTCACAAACACACTCAAACTGATAGACTCAGATGAAGGTGCAGTCGATTGTCGATTCACCTTTCCAAGATTGTTGAAGCACCTGCTTAATGGTGTTAAGGAATATAATCTTTGCAGCATAATAAGTTCTAATGGCTTCTTCAAGTCTTCGTTTAACTACTTCTTGTATATATCTATCATCTCCTTTAAATGAAACAAACTGATATGCACAGCTTTCTTTGAAACGGTTTGGATAGCTGTACTGGCCCGTAATTTCAATATAGCAAAAATCTTCATTCAGACATCTATAAGACACAAAATAATTGAGCAAAGAATATTCTTTTCGATTAATTCCTCTTCTGGCTCTAAAATTATATATGCATGTTTCTATACACAGAATATTCTAGATTTGTAGTCAATAGCAATATTAGTGTATTTTAAATAAGATCGATTTGTAAAGTAAGATCACAATGCAATTACAGGTCATTAAAGATATTTAAATGATAATAATAATAAAGATATAATAGCGCATAGAATATCAACTAAAATTAGGAAAATTCCACAAAAATTGAGGGGCATTCAAAAATAGATGGCCAAGGTAATGATGATGTCTGAACTAACTTCTTTTGGATGCATTAATTAGGCTTGTTAATATGGATCCCAACGGTCATCCTCAGCAATATTTAGTAGTCGAACTCTTAAGGCAAAATTGAGATTCGTAGGTATGCGGTAAATGCCCCTGAAAGCATGGTTAACGTCAATCTTGTGTTCTGTCTCCACAAGATGAGACAGAATAACGCTGCGAATAGATATTGTTTGTCCTTTGCTTAACCACGCAGAGTGATGTTCGGAAATTCGACGAGAAACACGCCTAAGTATATGGCCTATGGAACTGGCTCCACAGGAGCAGTTAAATTGATAGATACACATGAAAGAGGCGAAATTAGGCAGTTTGTCTTTTACTCCCGAACGCAAAAGAGGAGTGGTTTTGAAGATACAGTGTAATTCGGCAGCAGGGAATGCTCTTTTTACCGCATTTTTAAGGCGTTGTGTTAGTATCTTGCTGATGTTGTCCCCAAAGAACTGCATTTGTAAGAATAAGGCCTTTTTTGGAACTGTTGGTAACTTGGGTTGCTTTGGTTTTCTCTTCATATTCTTATCAATAAACTTTTCTGGATAACCATTTTAACTTAGCAACCGTTCAATATTATTAAGCTACTCATCAGGACATTTGTCCGAGCAAATCGCTCTTGCTCGTAATTGCTTATCAGTCATATATCTTCTGATTCATTTCTAATAGTATATTTATCACCGTATGCAGACTATTCAGCTGAAGAGTTCTACCAAGATTTGATGAATTTATTGAATTCTGCTTTATTAGCGTTTGTTGCGTGTTTTTACTTTATATTATGAAATAAATATATTTCTAAAATTAACAATGTACCTCACTGCTTGTACTTGTGAGTATTCATTCTCAAAATAATGGATACTGAACAAAGAGTACCCTTTTCGATAACCCCTTCATCACCAGGCTCTACAGTTATATGTACATCATAGTGAGTGAATGAGTGTTATGAACAACATTAATGTTGCTGTTTAAATAACATCGAATCAATAATATTGATAGATTACAGCTCAATAGTACCAACATAAAATAAGCTGAATGTCAGTTGAATTAGGAAAGATAATATTACAAATTCATGAATTTATAGTCTCTACTGAAGGCTGGCTAGGGCAGTAGTAGGGGCTGGACTTGCTTCTTTTGAACACGGAGCACTGGTTGTTTGAGGTGAATTGCAATAACCTCTGCTGTTCGGAGTATGCGGTGCTTCGATGATTTTGGCAATTTATTAGGCACCTGGTAGATTATAGAGAAGGATTCTTCCACGCTGGCTGGCTTTGTGTCCGGTTTGCACCAGATGGTCCAATATCGAACTGCTTATGGTTTTAACTGCACCTTTTACTTAGCCATAGTGGGGGATGTTCTCGAGTGAGCACGAAAAATCAAGTTCCTAGAGCAGTGGCCAATATTACTCCTTCCACAAGCGTAGTTGAATTGATAGATACAATGAGAAGTGGTAGTCTAGGTACTTTTTCTTTCAATCGAGGAATCACCATCGGTTGTGTAGGGAATAAGATGTGTAGTTCGCCAGCATTAAAAGTTCTTCTAACTGATTTTCCTTATTTCTTCGTAATTATTTCACTTGGTATATCGCCCTTGAATTGTAGTCGTGTATAAAGAGGTTTCTTCTTTACGGATAGTGAGCAGTCTTTTACCGACTTCTTTGTCATGTGTTTCTTAATAAATTTGTCGGGATAGCTATTTTGTACTTTTAAGATCTGTCTGTCTGTCTGTTTTCGACATAGAACTTTGCACTGATGTGCGACAGTTCAAGTCGCCACACTCCCTCCTTATAGCACACAAAGCAACAGAAGAAAGTAGAAGAAATGCATAATAGAGACAGCAAACAGGGTTGTGAGACAAAGGAATAGTAATAACGAAGAAGAATATATTTTCATCGGAAATCATAAGTCACAAGCTGGGTGCACCTGCACCAGCCATTACTGAGAACGATTTTGAGCCATATCACCAATTGTTTCCAGCCTTCATTGGTTTTTACCGTCCCGAAGACCCCAAACAGTCAGGAAGTCTACACCTTCCTACGTGGCTTAGACTAACTGTTGTGGATTTCATTGACCGGTGCCAAGTTTTTGTTTGACCACCGCTAGCTTTTTTCCAGCCTGACCCTATGTCCGCTAACATTGCTCGTCGAGGAAGGCGATGACTAGGCATACGTAACACATATCCTAGCCATCTCAATCGGTGTAACTTCACGACTTCGTCGATTGATTTCCCCTTCTTACCTAGCACTCGACCGAGGCCTAACCTCAATATTGCTCACCTTATTATGCCACTTCACGCGGGAGATAGAACGCAGGCACCTATGATCAAAGACAGCTAGTCTTTTCATGTCTTCCACTCTCAGTGGCCAGGTCTCACAGCTGGCCATAAAGGAGGACGGAGCGGACTGATGAGCAGTACACCCGCCCTTTGGTCGACACCCAGTCAGATATCACGTTTACTAAGCCAGAGACGGCGTAAACTGACATATGCGAAACGAGCCCCCTGTATTCGTGCTGAGATTTCGTCAGAGATCAGCCCGTTGTGGCTGATGGTACTTCCCAAATAAGTGAAGCGGTCAACGTGCTCAACCACTTCACTTCCTATTTTTAAACTAGACGTCGATGTAGTCCATTCTTGTAACGTCATCTTGCATTTGGCGGGAGCGAATCGCATGCCAAACATTCGTAGATTGCGGCTCAAGGTGTAAAGAAGACTCTGCATTTTGTCAGAGTCGTCGCCTAGGAGGACTATATCGTCTGCATATTCTAAGTCAACGAGATTATTCCCTGGTAACATGTCAATCCCTTAGTCACTGAAGTCACTTAGGGTTAAGTCCATTATTACATCTATTATGAAGTTGAAAAGAAAAGGGGATAGTGAGCATCCTTGACGGACACCGCTAGTCGTCATCAGTTCAGATGACAACTCACCGTAAGCCCTCACCTGGCTGTATGAGTACGAGTAGAGTGCCTTAATCAGTGCAATGTATTTTCTCGGAATTCCCTTTACAGCCAAGCATCTCGATCGACAGAGTCGAATGCCGCCTTTAGGTCAAGAAATATAATGACTGTTGGACGCCGGTAGGAATTCCTATGTTCTAGAATCTGTCGGAGGGTGAAGATATGATCAATACACCCTC